TGCATAGTCCTAGAATATCTATGTCGCAAGTCTCATTGAAATGTGATGATTAGTACTTGAGATATCAGGTGAAAAGCTGAAAATTAACTAATTATGCTAATAAGGTGATTAATATGCACAAATATTTACCAAAAAACTAATTAGGTCTCTGCACAGTCCTCAAGTAACTATGTACCAAGTTTCATTGAAACGTGATCATTACTACTCGAAATATCAAAAGCTGAAAGTTAATTAATTATGCAAATTAGGTAATTAATATGTACTGATATTACCCTAAAAACCATCAGGTCTGTGCAGTGTCATAGGACACCTATGTACCAAGTTATATTGAAATGTTATGATTAGTACTTGAGAATCAGTGGAAAAGCCGAAAATTGATTAATCATTATGTAAATTAGGTAATTAATAATATTAAAAATAATAATACCCAAAACTAATCAAATCTGTGCATTAGTTCAGAGCATCCATGTGCCAAGTTTCATTGAAATCCAATGAGTGGTTCTTCAAAAATCAGTGGAAAAGTCATAGAACAGCTTAAAATCAGTTAATTATCATGCAAATTAGGTAATTAATATTCATAGATTTTACCCAAAACTAATCAAATCTACGCACTAGTTCAGAGCATCCATGTGCCAAATTTCATCAAAATCCAATGAGTGGTTCTTTAGATATCAGTGGAACAGTCTTGGAACAGCTAAAAATCAGCTAATTATCATGCAAATTAGGTAATTAATATTCATAGATTTTTACCAAAACCTAATCAACTCTGCGCATTATCCCAGAGCATCTATGTACCAAGTTTCATCAAAATTTGATTAGTGGTTCTTGAGATAACGGTGAAACAAAAAAAGTGACATACATACATACATACAGACAGGGTAACTGCAAAGACTCCCTTTTGTGCTTCGCACACGGGAGTCAATAAAAAACACCTAGCAAATTAGACTAGAGAAAAAAAAATAATGGTAAAGTAAATTGGATTGTTTTCCACATTTGTGTTGGTGAATGTTTAGATTACTATTGCATGTACATGACCTTATCTTGAGATAGCTGACTATAAAGTTTTCAGTTTTTCCTCTCTTGTTTTGAAACCGTTCTCTATGTATTTTGCTATTTGTATTATTATTTTCTCATCTTTATTATTTAAAATATATTTTAATTTTTCTTTATTGTTTGCTAAGTGTTGGGGTGATAACAGCTGATAAAGTTTTTTTCTTTCTTCGGCGTAGAGATCACATGTTAAAAGAAAATGTACTTCGTCCTCTATGGCGTTATTTTCACAACATAGACATTTTCTGTCAGATATATCTGTGTTGTTATATCTCCAAGTCTCTATTTTTAGTCTGTGAGCACTAATCCTCAATTTTGTCGTTGATGACCTGTGATGAGTATTTTTGACTATGTGTACTTACATAGTTTACATAGTAGTTTTCAAAGCCAAAGTATGTTTTCAGTTCTCTGTAAGTGCGCAATTTATTTTTGTGATTTTTCCCTTTGTTATCATTGTCTAAAATCTGTTTATAATTTTTTTCAAACTTTGTTTTTAGTTTTTCTGATATTATTTTATCTATATTTACATTGTTCACATTTTGCTTTTTTTCTTCCTGCCACAAATGGTCTATATCTATATCTTTAAGTATAAGTTTTAACCCGGAAACCCAGTTGTAGGTGCCAGAGTTGTCTAGTTCTAAGCCAAGACTGTATGCTTCATAAACCAGAGAATTTTCAGGCATTTTTTTTATTCGAGACCAGTATTTGATCATCTGTTTTATACCTGTTGTAATTAATGGATACCTTCCTAATTCTAAAAGACATGCCACATTGGTCGCTTTGCTGTTAACTTTGAGTAGGTATTTGCAGTATTTCATGTTGTATTTCAATTGTTCCATTGGTGACATGATATTCATATACATCTTTTGGTGTTTAATTATACTGTCTGGGCAGATTTCTGCACAGTATAAAAGTATTGGTTTTATCATGGTATCAAACATTTTAACGTATATTTTTATGGTATGGTATCTGAGAATAATAACTGTTTCATTTTGAAGCATGCTTTTTTATAGCTCTATTTTTAAGATCTTCTTGAGCCAAGTCAAATTTACCATTTGTTTTAAATTTAATTCCAAGATAAGTGTATGTTGACACTCATTCTAGTTCTACACCTTCTATGTGAAAATTTTGGTTTTCAATGTGTTTGCCACTTTTGTTGAATATCAGGATTTTTGATTTATTAATATTAATGCTTAATTTCCATTTTTTGCAGTAAATTTGCATTCTGCAAACCTGAGCTGCTTTCTGATAGTAGAATTAAGTCATCTGCGTATAGTAAACATGGCAGTGTATTATTTCGCAAAGATGTTTATATGTTCTTTGTAAAATTTTCCTGTGATACAATTTTTTCTTAATTTGTACATTAGTCCAGGGTGCCACACTGAGTCAAATGCTTTTTTGAAGTCAATAAAACATGCAAAAATGTATTTCTTGTTGTTAAGATATTTTGTGACCAGTTGTTTAAATACAAATATGTGATCTCTTGTTCCAAATTTTGGCATGAACCCAATTTGTTCCTTAATTATTATTTTATTGTCCTGTATATAGTTGGTTAGACGTTGTTTCTGAATTGATGTGAATAGTTTACTTAATGTGCTCAGAAGGGTGATTGCCCTGTAGTTGCTAGGGTCTGTTTGTCACCTTTTTTATAGATGGGTTTAATGATACCTGTATTCCAGCTACTTGGATACTTGCCACTAGATAAAATAAGATTGAATAATTTTTGGAAAGGCTTTATTAAAATATGTCTGCCTGTTTTCAGCATTTCGTTTTTAATTTTATTCAGACCTGGGCTTTTTCCAGCTTTCTGCTTATTTATTTCGTTTTGTATCTCAAGTTTTGAAATATTTTTGTCAAGCATATCTACTGTCTGAGAGCTCCACTCTAATAGGTCAATGTCTGCATCTTGGTTATAGTCTCTTATCTGTCCGGAAGAATTCGGTTCTTTAAAGTGTTCAAACCACTTTCATCTTTAATGTTTTCAACATAGTTTTCATTTTGTATGTATGTTTCACCCAAATGCGTTATTTTTGAGTCCCAGAATGATGAAGCTGTTATTTATAACAACCTTGTGAACACCAAACGGTCATGCATAATTTCATTGAAGAAAGTACACTTCATCAAGTGACAGATTATTTGTTGTTTTAATGGTTACCGTATTAAAAACGTGAACAATTTTAGTCCCTTTAAATACTTTAATACAACTAGGAACCTCAGACTGCCTTCCAATCAACCGGGCCCGCCTGGATGGATGTTTTAAATGGGCAGTCCCCTGTGGTAGAATATATAGAACTATAGATAGAACACGTCTAAATGTGTCCTGCATTCAAGCTGTAATCCCTTTGCGATATTCATGTGAACTCATCCGCTTATATGTGTGGGTAGACTGTGGAACGTATTCATCCCACATCGGTTTAAATAAAGTGTGATAGATTATACGGGTCATTCCATGAACAATCAAGATTTCCTACCAACAGCCGGCGATTGTGCGATTGTTACGGTAACAATACTGGCAGTATAGACTGCTATGCGTTTCCACTTTCATCGCGTCACATGTTTCTGTGACATCACGGTAACATCTAGTAGTCGTAGTATATCAACTTTCAGTCTAGCTGATATATTGCATCATATCACAGGCCCAACAAGGAAGGAACTGTGATAATATTAATCTGCATAATCTGTGTTTCGTTGAAAGTCGGTTTCCATGAATTCCGTTTCGTTGAAAGTCCGTTCTACTAATAGTTCGTTTCGTTGAATGACTATTTCGTCGAAACTTGAATATATCGTCATTAAGTAACAAAATATCAACAAATTGAAAGGGAATGTTGCGTGAAATTTCCAATTGTGCAAAAAAACGAAGGATATAAAGGCAAGAAAAGTTGGCTTTTCAGCAGGTCATGGCCACACTTGATTCCGATTCCAGACATTAAGTGGTTCGTGTTGCCTAGATTTGAAAGTAAAGCATTGTTGTCGCCAAATTACCGTCAACAGAACCAGTAAGGCATGGTGTCATAGTGGAGGGACATTTGCCAGACACACCTTTTCAGGTACATGTATATTTTGGGATGCTGATTTCAAACTTGTGAATGCATTTGCTAAATAATACATTTCCCTAGGTCTCAATTTTGTCAGGTATGCTAAATCATCGGCAGTTTGATCGGGGATTGGCAATGTTTAGGAAAGAATAAAAGGTTAAAAAACTAAGCTAATACATTAAAAAATAATAATACCAAGACTATATTATTATACTATGAAAATATGCAAAACTTAACTGTGAAAGAAAATTATTCCGGGGTTGCTGTCTTATTTCAAAACACTTCTTGCTACAGAGAGTGTTAGACCACAGTTGTTTAGCAAGGCCATGAATTGTATCTTTGGTGAAAAAATTTTAAAATTTTGGTTTTTGCCATTTCAAATAAGACCTTTCTTTCGGGGGTATAACTTTTGCGTGGCATCATTAGATAGTACTCATCTTCTACTTGATTTTGTTGGTAAGGGACATTCCTTCATGTCTGCCAAGACTTAATTTTCAAGTTTTGGTCACTGACGAGGCGGAATTTTGTTAAATTTTCGGGCATCTCAATATTTTGCAGGGTAACAAGGTAGGTTTCAAAAGCAAAATTGTTTTTTGTATGTTCTTAATTTTTTTTTGATCGATTGTCGATATGTAATTAACTTTTCCAAGTTTTTTTTTAAATGTTTTTTTGTGCCAGGCGACAGTTTAATGTCACAGTTGTCTCTCCTGACATTTTTTGTAGGTGCAAATTGCAAGTGCTAGTGCTGACACAGAAGTCATATTTGGGACTACATGATAGGGCTGTGCGGCTGCGCTATACTGGCATCAACCAGGCTCGGTTGTCTCGAACACAAGCACCCGTGGACCTTAACCAAGGTTCCCCCAAAGTCGAATTCGTTAGTGAATGAATTTCGGCCAGTGGAATTGGCCTTCCCATTGGTCCAAGTCCACCGTATAAGCCCATTGTTGTGGTGTTTTTGGATGTCCCAAGAGAAAACGACGATAATTTATATGTACATCTTCAATTGGTGATTTTAGTGCAATATCATCTCCCCATAGATCACTGCCATATGTGAGAATTGGTCAGAGCAGTTTATCTCCCACCCTTGAAGTGAAGTGTTAGTTATCTACAATTTATTTTTATATTCGTCGGAAAACTAAGACTGCATTTTGTTGAATTTGTCCCACAATATAGCTCGAGCGTCGTGCATCGCATTGACTTCTGGTTCTCATAGAAACCCATAGAAAAAACAACATATACCCATATATATAAAACATTTCTTTTTATAAACAAATTGTGTGGCGAGATATAACACGACATCAATTAGAACAATGTATCTCTTTTTTTTCTTATATGATGATAACTTTAATTATTATTATAATAATATTTATGGAATACTTTTGAAATGTTTGGTAAATATTTTTTTTTTCGGCTTATTCATGTAAACTGTCAGCTTCGATACTTTATATGTAAACCTATGTAAATTTTGCTAATTTTCTTGAAAAAGGCTAGCCTGATTGCTTTGGTGTTTCTTTTACAGTATGCATCTCAAACTGGGACTCGGAGCCATATCAACCTGCTGTAAGCCTAGTATCTTTGGAGTTTGTTGCCATTAAATACTAGAGCAGTAGTTCTGCACTCACTAAGTGGTTACTTATAACTGAATGTGTCATGCGCACATTGAACCGTAATTTAAATTACAGCCTGAGCACATCATAGTATAACAAAATATACAGAACAAATATAATTGACTAATAAAATATTTAAACTATTATATCTAAAGTGACAACATGAATATTATCATGGCTTGATGCAATATCTCTATCGACTCGGGTGGCTTATTGTTATTAACTACCGAAGCCTGGAGACACTTTAGTAGTGGACCAGTTAGACAACTATCCTTTCTTTGCAACGTGAATCGTGGAAAATACAAATATTACCCATACCCAAAGCCGCAAACTCTTTATAAAAGCAGAGGAGAAAAATTGCACAGCTAACAATGTACTGTCTTTCCTCGTTATATGAAACGATCCGTGAAGGAATTCCAGGATTGCTTTACTCAACTGACACCCAGCCGGGCTGACATCATTTAGTATTTACCAAGAACTGGACGGTATAGAACAAACGATGTTTCACGAGGTGTATTTGCAACAATTGAATCGTCGTGGACGTTTGTGAACAACGAAAGCAGAAGTATGAAATTGAATTGAGTCAATTATTTCTTAAGTACAGGCACATGAAGGGGTACAACCCTTACTTTCACCATGTATGGCTATCCAAGTCTGACGTCACCGAATACCCAGAATGCATGCCGACCATCATATTAAAACAGCTACGCTATCACTTTTTACTGCCTGAATTGTAGGAGTCGATAATTTTACTCGTCTCTTCGCCGCACGAATTCTTCGTCACAGAGTCATCATGCCAAACGAATACAATAATGGTCTTTTCAGTTGTTTCAACAACCTTGGCCTGTGTGTTGTCACTTACTTCGCACCATGCTACACGCAAGGAAAGGTAGCAGAAGCCGTCGGCGATGACTGCTTGTTATGTGGACTGTCTGTTTTTGTTCCTCTCCTCGACATCTGGGCCCGTGCCTCAATACGAGGAAAAGTGCGTGAGCAGAAGGGCATAGAGGGAGGTTTTATCGGTGATCTATGTCTCGCATGTTGGTGTTACCCCTGCAGTTTGATGCAAGACGCCCAAGAGATGAATATTCCATCGCCATTTGGATCTTCGATGGCTCGCACTTAATAGCTGGAAAAATAGGGTGCGGTCAGCGCGATCCGACCAGACTTGAATTACAAGCTGCCTCTGACCATATTTTAGATGTTTCATAGAATACGCCTCTTCCTGCTATATCCACATGTATATCCATTATCAGTTTGATTCTACCCTCCGCTCTTCCTTTGTAATTGATTTTGTAGACAACCTTTCGCTTCGTCTATCCATTGATGTGATTGAACTTCGAAGAATCTGAGATTGGCTGCCCTGGCTGCCTTGCCCACTCTACATACTCTCGTTATTGTGCGCTCATTTGAAATGTCCCTGACCGAGTTAGCGGTCAACGAACGGTCAATTGATGGGCGTAAAATAACGAGTTTCGATTGCACCAATATGGTGCTTTGATGAATCGCGTTCTCCCCACGTTGCACGTTTTTACCAAGAACAATATACCCGTTGATTCAGGATTGCCAAATTACGTGCCTCCGTGAACACTAACTTTTGTTATTACTACAAGTATACAGTTTCAAGTTTATCGCTTGGCAAGTTACCTGACTTGTTATCATCATCTACAGGCACTTGAACTTGTCTTGTGTTACTTTTTCAACATTATTCAGATTCAGAATATATTCAACAATTCTTATATAATATATATTTGTATAAATGTAGTGCTAGTAGTCATCGTTGGCCTATAAACCCCCGCTGCCAAAAACTGTAACATGCATGTCACGTGGCTCGGACAGAACTTGTATTGCCGATTGGTTGTTATGAACAAATGACATATTTCACAATTACAAAGCGGGCGGTTTAGTCAGCACGCATAACATATGTACCAACATGCATTTTTCTGCTCTAAGTACATATGTTATAAATCAACAGCCCTAATAAAAAAAGGTGTTCCAGGAAAGAGACTACAGGGTTTTTTGGGGCCCACAAAACTCGAATTTAATCACAATATATATTTTGTATAACCCCAATATTAACCTGATTTTACATAGCTGCATACTAATTAAGAAGTAGTAAAATTTAGAGAATTACAACTGAAATAAGGTTCAAGGAACTGTCTGGCTGTGCTTAATCTAAATCACGATATTATAAATTCGTCTTCCGACCTCCTTATATATCAACAACTTAATAACGTTTTTTTTTATTTTTGCATGGTGGTGATATATGTGGACATTCAAAATTTTTCAATTTATGGAGACATTTTCACTGAAATAATAAAAGCAGTTAACTGAGGATGTTGCACGCATTTAATTTTGTTCCCATAGTGGATGTCACCTTGCTGAGGTGAATGCCCTGGGTGAGCTTGATGACCTTAGTGTGTGAGATGGGCTGACATTTGTAAGATCGATGACCTTAGTGTGTGAGATGGGTGACCTGTGTAAGACTGATGACCTTTATAGTGTGTGAGATGAGGTAACCTTTGTGAGCTTGATGACCCTAGTGTATGAGATGGGGCGACCTTTGTAAGATTGATGACATTAGTGTGTGAGATGGGCGACCTATGTGAGATTGATGACCTTAGTGTGTGAGATGTGCGATCTTTGTAAGATTGATGACCTTAGTGTGTGAGATGTGCGATCTTTGTAAGATTGATGACATTAGTGTGTGAGATGGGGTTACCATTGTAAGATTGATGACCTTAGTGTGTAAGATGGGGTGACCTTTGTGAGATTGATGACCTTAGTATGTGAGATGGTTGCTTTTGTGAGATTGATGATTTTAGTGTGTGAGATGGGGTGACCTTTGTAAGATTGATGACCTTAGTGTGTGAGATGGGCGACTTTCGTGAGATTGATGACCTTAGTGTGTGAGATGGGTGACCTTTGGGAGATTGATGACCTTAGTGTGTGAGATGGGCGACCTTTGCAAGATTGATGACCTTAGTGTGTAAGATGGGGTGACTTTGTGAGATTGATGACCTTAGTGTGTGAGATGGGATGACTTTTGTGAGATTGATGACCTCAATGTGAGATGGGCGACCTTTGTAAGATTGACGACATTAGTGTGTGAGATGGGGTAACCTTTGTAAGATTGGTTACCTTAGTGTGTGAGATGGGGGGGGGGGTACCTTTGTACACCGGGAATCATACACCACTCAATCCAGGGATCATACACAACTCAATCCGGCGATCATACACAACTCAATCCGGGGATCATACACCACTCAATCCGGGGATCATACACTACTGTAGAATACTTTATTTTCGCTTGGAATTTATTTTCGCTGTTTTCGCTGAAGGGATGATTCCGTGAAAATAAAATCCAGCGAATATACTTTTTTCAAATATATTTTACATTAAACTCATCAAAAATCAGTGAAAATAAATTCTACACAAAACGCCCAAAAAGCCTTTTCAGCGAAAATTAATTCCAGCGAAAATAAAGTATTCCACAGTATTCTATCCATGGATCATACACCACTCAATCCGGGGATCATACACCACTCAATCCGCGGATCATACACCACTCAATCCGGGGATCATACACCACTCAATCCGGGGATCATACACTATTCTATCCATGGATCATACATCACTCAATCCGGTGATCATACACAACTAAATTCGGGGATCATACATCACTCTATCCGGGGATCATACACTACTCTATCCGGGGATCATACACCACTCAATCCGGGGATCATACACAACTAAATCCGGG